AATAACACTTAATTAGTTTTGCAGTGAACCCAGCAACCTTGGGTCCTCCTGAAACCTATCTTCCAGAAAGACACCCAGTCTTCTCAAGGCTCAAAGGAATGGAACAGGGATAATTTCTTTTGCTAGCTGCTGCCAGAGCTCAATCGACCTCCTATGTAAGTGTTTCCACCTTATTTCTCATTTCAATTTGTCTGACTACGCTTTCAGTAACTGATTTTTCTTAGGCTTTTCTCAGCTAGATTAAGAGTAGTGGATGTCTGATATTTTCTCCCTGTGAAGCAACTCATACACTATAATCAAGTACCTATCTAGCATTTTGGTCATGAATTATGTAACTCTTCATAAGCACTAAGCGTTCAATCACCACGTAGGCAGCCAACTGCCAAAACACTATCGTCACGATCGTTGTTCTGTAGATGCCCAGCCCCAGAGGCACCTATAATTTTCACGGAGTCACAGGCACACAAAACTATACTTCCAAGAATTCCCACAAACACATCTGTGAAGCGAAGGGAAGTGGCTCATGCTTTTAGATCTGCCAGGATCCATAGAGTAAGAAATCCTCCACTGCTACTCGCAGGGCCCAGGGTGGCAGACTCTCAAAATATGCTGTGTAACTTTACCATTTTCAAAGCTAAAACAAACTTACTGAAGAGTACAATGAATTGATCTGCTTTTCCTTTTAAAAAAAAAAACAAAAGACATCCAAGACAGATTTTGCATGACTGTCAAGTTTAAATTTAGCAAAACATCCCCAAATTTTCATTCAACACCTTAAACAGTTCCCTAATCACAACTGACTGTTGTGAAGCCATTTTCTAGCAAAAGATTTGTGACTCAAACTGTGTCAGCACTGCACCTATTTTTCACATGGGAAACGCAAACAGAGAGCAAGCCCATTATAGCAGTCACTCAGTAAAAAACAGGGTTATTCTGTTTTCCTAGAGTAGTGCTCCTTCTTGGGATCCATGTTCACTTTTAACAGTGCAGCACAGAAGTAACGATACAGAAAAAAAGAGCATCATCACATAACTTTCCACATGATCATGAAAACAATAATGAGCAAACTGCTCCTCTTCTCTCTGAAGAGCTTTTTGCCTTACGGCCATTTTAGTATTCACAGAAGACTACTATGAACACAGTGAGATGCCATGGTCTCTGCAGCTATTGGAATAATGGAGATGTCGAGCCATAGATATTGCACTCTTTAGATATAAATAATGCATCATAATAGTATCATAATGTTTATAAGACAAGAACTCCTAAATGACAAACATTTAGTTCAAACTGAAATCATCACTACCAAGTGATGCTGCAAAGCAGACAAAGCACTTTGAAAGACAGCTGGGGTACTGACCCCTTTCAAGTTTCACTACAGTTACGAGCCCTTCCCCTGTCCCACTGCTCAAAGTATTCAGACTCAGTTCAACTGAGTACTGAGATGTTGCATCAGTCGGAGGAAAAAAACATATCTAAGACTTTTAGAAATGCAATGCATATAAGAATCAATCCAAAGATTTCTTCAGCTTTGAGACTTGCCATACAGACAAGTCCACAGTAAGCAAATCAGAAATATATTTCATCAAATCGCCTCATTAAAAAAAAAATCACCAAAATTATAGTAATCAACATAATATGACAATTCACTTGTATTAATTTTCCATTTGCAATGAAAAATTTTCAGATTTGCACATTGATTACAAGAATAACATGAATAGTTTTCATTGGAACCAAATTTCTATGACTAAAACATTAACTGCAGTAAGCTCACTTCTGTTCTAGAACATTTATAAAATCTATTGGCATCTCAAATGTGATATTCAAAAGAAAATAAATGAATATTGTGGATAATCAACAATCACTGGATTTCTGGCTTTTTTTCAAATAAATTTTTAATTTCAACACAGACCTTGAGAAAATGGGTCAGAGAGTATCAAGAAGCAGGCAGAAAGCTTTTACAAAACAATACACAATGACATTTAAAAAAGATGGTGATTTGTATAAAAATTAGAGGATGGCCGCATAAACTGGTATTTGAAGTGTAATCTAGCAAATTCAAACTATAATTTTATGTACAGATGCTTATATCTCTTTGTTGGTTTGTGTGCATAAAAGGTCTGCTGCTCAAATGCAGTGAGTTTCAAAACGAAGAAACAAAAGAATTTTCTAGACTGCCATTGTTTTAAAATATATAATGATACTTCATTGGGTTTATAAGGAATATATCTGGATAGTTAAATACCTCCCTCTATGACAGAGCCTATAACGAAAAGAGAAAAGAAAGTCTGAAGGCATTGCACCTATTTTACAAATGGTTTTGTGGTATTTCCATGTATCAATTCCTCACATTATACAGGATTTCAAAGATGCAGAACAGCAAGTGCTATCACATATCAATTACAGAATCATCCTTACTCATGTAGAACCTAACTTGTTCTGCCTTCCAGCTTCCACAGCCTCTCTCTTTGAAATGTAGCTTCTTCAAGCTTCTTACTGCTCCTGACCCCATAGAGCAGTACAGTAGCAGGCAAAGAAAGCTAAGCAGAAATTAGTGTGAGAACATTATATTACAAATAGCATTAGTTTTGAATTAGAAATCCAAATGATAATTTTACAGATAAGAAACAGGCTTGATATTTAGTCCCACACACATCTTAAAGGACCCCACAGCTTCATTCTTGGTGGCTTGTGCTGAAGGAGTTTGTAACTAGTTCTGCAAGGCTGGATTTGGTGGCTGTCTTTTTGTCAGTGATGAGACTTATTCTATCCCTATTCTGCTCAAAGAAGTAAAGGGGCTGGCTTTCCAGTTACAAAGCAATATTAGAACACAAAAGACAGACAAATATGTTTAAGTTTAAAATAATCAATCTTGTACGACACTTTCATACTCCTAGCATCCTAAAGGGTTCTATGTTGTGTTGTGGATTCTCTGTGGGTGCAGCCAATGACCAATAAGTCATCAGTAACCATGAACCAGACAAAGAAAAAATCTTATTTTGATAAGGGATGTTGGCCAGGGCATGGGAGTTATCCCCTCATTCCTCTAAAAACCTTTTGTAAAACCTTTAAGTCTCAGATGTCCAGCAGTCAGAAATGGATTGAAAAGAAGAAATTAAAACCTCTTTAATTAAAGTCTGATGTGAATGCACAATTATCACCGAGGTCCCGCTTTAATAGTGTTTCTTCCAGAAGGAAAATAAAGTATCACCCTTTTAGCAATAGGATTATTCAAACAATATTTCAACATTTCTGTTGCATACCAATTCTAGGCCAGCTTGGCAGGAATTAGGTGACAACCAGTTTTTGTTAGTACTAATATGTTTGTACAGCACCCTGTTTAGTGCAAGGGAATTTCTACAGTATAAGAATGAATGTACATAAAATAGATATTGCTAGTATACAACACACTGATGACAGGTTTCCTTTGTTGCAAAGACAAGCAAGTTGAATAGTTTTAACCACAGCATGCTGCAATGAGAACTTCATTTATTTAGATACAGTCTTGAAAAAATAACACAAAAACTTACACAGATTTTGTAATTTTGGAAAAATTCTCATGATTCTAACACTGTTATAGCTATCTGTGTTATGTCTGTATATCTCTCTATTGAAAGCATTATGGGTTTTCATATTATTTTAAGGGGGATTATTGTAGTAAAAATCCAACAGTGTCTGAATTTAAGCTTGGAGCTGAATATTCATTCACTTTAATGAGAACTATGGTGAAATGTGACCAGTTTTCTGACCTATTTTGAAATTGGTATTCCGCCAACTGGCATTTTGTTTGCACATCCAGATATTATCCACCATATGCTGACATGACATGATGATTGGTTCCAAAATGAAGTGGAATACTTGGCAAATAGAAATATATGGTACAAATAATACACTGCCTCTAGTCAGGAAAGCAAGCAGTCATTTTGAGAAGACTGAGAGGTTTTAAAATAACTTGAGCATACGCACTGCACAAAGCTGAAAGAAAGCCCTCTAGGTTATGGCTTTTTAGAAGTACAAGGGTCTCAAATTATGAGATCAATTCCTTACAGAAGAAGATTAAAATCTGACACAGCAGTACTAATAGTAGTACTTCAATAGAAGATTAATTTGCATCTTAGGGAGAATTTGGCCCACGTAGCTTCTTCCTCCTCTGGATTCCCCAAATCTTTCTTCTTACCATCTGTTCTTTTTTCCCACTGCTCTGACTTGTCTTCCCGCCCAGTGATGTCTAAGTTATCTGCCTCTCCTGAGTTAAGATCACATTTCATTCAAGCTCCAGCCTAATTTTGTATTATTTCTCCTAACCTTTTGCCACTGAACTCTTTATTTTTCTCCTAACTTGATGCTCCTATTAAACTTCTGCCTTCTATTCTAAACTGTAGAATATCAACCAAAAAAAGTCTTGTTCCTAAACTGGAAACACCTCAACTTTTTTCTTATAATTCTTGTTTCCAAAGCAATGTTTCTATTTTACCTTTCTCCAGTGACTTCCATGTGTGTGCTCTCCAACGTGAAGCCTCAAAACTTCCGTGTAAGTTATTGATTGGTCTCTGCTGTTGTCTTTTCATATCAACTAATGTCTGCTTTTTTGTAATGAAATTGAATATTTTTAAAGTGGTACATTATTTTGCCACTGTATTTCTTAGTAGTTTTTCTGTTCTTAGTTTTTCTGTTCTTGGATAAATAGGTTGGGCAGAAGGACTTAATACAAATGTTAAAAAAAATATTTCTCTATAAAAGTTCAACTAGACTTCAAAATCAGGCATCTAAATAGCACACACTTCCGATGTTTATATATTGAACAGCAAGCTTTGCTTATGAAACATGAAAGGATTTCAGTGTTTGGTGCATAACTTTCCCCCTTGTGAAAACTTAAAGAGGACAAAGCCCACTTTAAAATCATGTTCTTCAGAATAAATGATAACAGCTAGCTTTCTTATTGCAATCATTTAAGCATGCTCATACAGAGAAGAATTTGTAAGCAAAGGGAAGAATGACCTTACCAGCATGCAAGTACGCCAGATCAGGATTTTCAATGTCTGGGTGTAGTTCTTTCAAGTGGTTACGAAACTCCACAGGGATATTGGTTCCATAGTCACATTTAGGACAGTTATACATTTTTACTCCTTCATGCTTTCCTGTATGTAAAATGTGCTTACGTATATTTTCAGCACAGTTAGACCTAAAAAGAAATGAAAAATATAAATGTTTTATAGCAATTTATACCCCACTTGTTCAAATAAAATCTAGTGTTATAAAAGAAAACAAGTAGTCTTTATTCATTTTTCACTATCTGCCCATTTTTTGCATCCTTTTAGCTTTTGCATAAATGTCATGAAAAACTTAGCACGAAGGTTCCCAAAGCTGTTTCAGGTTAACTAAGCAACACATCTGAAACATAAACATTTAGAAAGGAAGAATTTTTTACATTTGCAGAAAGTCTTAAGATTTTAATTTTTCTTGACGGTAGTAAGTGATGGACAGAAATTAAGCAGAAGTCTTAACTCAGAAAAACTGAAATGCACAGATGCCTGCAACGTTCCCAGTAGAGCTCACATGAACCTTTCCTATGCAGTTTCTTGATTCCACAGGAGTTGCTCTGATTTTTGTGAGAATATTCCACCAACTCTCATCTCATTTTATGAACTGTTTCTACAAGAGAGAATTGAGTTGCTCAAGTTTATACCTTTTTGAAAATACACACAAATTCTGATTTGTATCTTAAGCATGGCTTTTGTGGAAGCAGTGGAGTTTCAATGCATAAAAACCAGAATACATAGATGAGCAGTTTTACGCATTTAGAAGAAATTTTTCTAATGATATTTCTGAAAAAAAGAAATGTGAGTAGAAAAAGGTTTCTCATTTCTTTCATCCACAAAGAGATGCACAATATGACAGTAATTTTTAATTTCCAGTGTTTAAAATTTTGCAGTCTCATTCCAGTAGAATTCCCGACTTCTTCAAGGTTGGTGATGAATCCCATACAAAATATACTGCTTCTTCATTTGTGTAAATCAGAAATAACCATTATATTTATTCTTGAATCAAAATAATAGCCTGTGTACAAATTTTTTAGACTTTCTTTGTACTGTATGCTACTAATATTGTCAAACTAAGAACAGTAATTCAGTTTAACTAAAAAAGTACACTCAAGTGAACTATATAAATATATAATACTTCACAAATGCTGAAATAAGACAACAGTAGTATTTTGAACAGCCAATTGTTCACCTGTCATGGTTAGGAATACCATAGTAACATGCACCTAGATAAAGAACCCCCAAAATAAACTGAAAGTAGCAGCTTGAAGTTCTGTTGGAGTGCTTGTCTCTCCCTTGGAGACGGTCATAGTAAAGCTGATATCTGCCTTACAGTGCTGCCAAATCTCACCCTCTGTCATATCCATCTGCTATATACCAGTATAACGATCAGACTCCTAAGAATGTCAGAGAAGACACTTACATTCACTGAAAAATATGGGAAATATTGGTCCTTAGGATCTTTCAGGATTCAGCCCTAATAAAATTACAATGCTCATAAATGTTAAAATTAAACATGTATTTTTTTTTTTTTTAAAGAAAGGAGAGTGTACACTGCAACGAAAGCAGGAGACAATCTGGTAACCTTCTATCACAGGTTATATTTTAAAGGGCAGCAGATTAAAGCAGAGCACACAAATCTGAAATAAAGTATCTGTGTCCTTTTAGCCCAGCTCTCACACTATGTTAAAGAGAGATATAAAAGTTTTTACTTTGAAATACTTCTGTGAAATGTATAAAGGATCTGTGGAAACCTATGTAAGAGTTTTGTGTAGAAAACCTAGCCTGTTCAAGTCATAAAAGGCCAGTTCTATCTCCTTTGATTTGTGAATTTGCTCCAACCACTTTAAACAGAGCAATCCCAAATTCTCATTTATTCAGTCATCAGTAAAAATCTGTGACTAAACACATCAACATACTAATATAAAAAATTTTAAAAAATGTATTTTTTTTATGCAGTGAGGCCAGAAAGGCTTAACCAGAAATGAAGAATATGAGATCACAAAGCATTACAAATGGTCTCTCATATTAGGTTGCAATGCAGCAACTGCAATCGTAAAGTTAACCATGAAGGTAACAACTGGCAAATGCAAGCACTTGTGAAGCCAAGTAATACCTTTATATATGACATGACAAAAGTGTACTGCCTATAAAATGCTTTTTTTTTTTTTTTAATTATTCAGTGTGCTTTTAATGTCTGTTTTATGAGGAATCTTCTCCCAAGTACTGTACAAGTATGTTATATGCCTGACACAAAAACACCTCACCAAAACCATGGGCATGTGTGTACTTCCATCACTTCATTTCATATGAGGAAACACAGAGCTCTGTGATTTTAAACAGCAATATGTTTTCATTAAAGCTATGTCATGATAAATATCTAACTAAAATATTACAGTGTTGCAATAGTGAAGATAGTTAAGCATTTGACAGGCTTTGTGTTACAAAATTCACTTCAAGGAGTTTAGAAACTGAGATAAAGATTCCCTTTATTCCAAAATCTGGCAACTTAGAGCCCAGCCCAAAAGAAATTTTTGAGTAAAGTCTGTTTGGTTTTTTGAGTTCCACTGAATTATAGCCACAAACAAATAAATGTAGCTTTTAAGAGGCCAGCTTGTGTTCCACTAAGGCTAAACCAGATGTTTCTAAGTTAAATTACTATTATCATTTCTTAATGTAAGCATGTTTTCATCCTTATGATCCATTTTCCATTTTGAAAATCAAATGTATATATTTCTGGCAATTTGTCCATGGTCTGCAATAACAGGAAGAGACCTCATTAGAGAGACTTAATTAGTCTAAAGCTGTAGTCTATGGATTTATATTCAATGCTGATGCAGAGAAACAAAACAGAAATTTTGTACTTATTTCTTGCAGTGAGTCCTTTTATCAGATATGAAGAAAGGTTTGACCCCACAGCAATTCTATTAAATGAAGGTGGAAGAGTTTTCAGTTTCCTGTCAGTGTTATACATGGTGAAAGAGAAGATGGGACATGTTACTAGGGCACAGAAAATGTGAGGAGCTGAAAAACTCAGCCCATACTTCCCATGTAACAAGCGTTTATGAGATCTCCTCATCAAAGATTGATATACTGGGAAGAGCGTAGGTCTGCTTTCCACTGCACATGCCCAGGAGAGCTCCCACATTTCTGTACAGGACAATACTGTGAAGTAAGGGTGACAGATGACAAGTTTCTCCTGAGAAATGCAGCTACTGCTTAAGTCGAAAACTTCTTTTGGCTGAAGATATAAAAGGACTTTTACCTCTAATGTTTATCACACAGCAATGCATTTATGATTGCTGCTCTAACTGCACAGTTCATCTTGCCATTGTAAACCCATTCGAACCAACCAGTTACCTGCCTTTCTTCTGCTGCTCTTAATAAATTAAAGGTTGATGCTTATTAAAATATCATAAAGTGGAAATGACTTGTCAACAGTAAAACTGTACTTTAATCACAGAATTACAGAATGATTGAGGTTGGAAGAGACCTCTAGAAGTTATCTGGTCCAAGCCTCCTACTCAAGCAGGGACATTCAGGGCCAGATACACAGGACAGTTTTCAGGCAGCTTCTGAAAATCTCAGTCACCTTCACAGTGGAAAAGCGTTTCCTGATTTTCAGGGGGAACCTCCTGTGTTTCAGTGTGTGCCCATTGCCTCTGGTCCTGACACTAGGCACCACTGAAAAGAGCCCAGCTCTATCTTCTTTACTCCCTTCTTTCAGGCATGTGTGCATATTGATGACATCCTTCCCAAGTCATTTCTCCAGGCTGAAGAGTTTCAGGTCTCTCAGCCTCTTGATTTTTGAGAGAGATGCTCCAGCGCCTTTTCATCTCAGTGCCCCTTTGCTGGACTCTCTTCAGTATGTCTATGTGTGTCTTGTACCATGGAGACCAGAACTGGACCCAGCACTCCAGGTGTGGCCTCACTAGTACTGGGTACAGGGGAAGGATCACCTCTCTTGACCTACTGGCAGCAATGCTCCTAATGCAACCAGGACACAGCTTTCTCTGCTTCAAGGATGTGTTGGTGGTCCATGCTCAACTTGGTGTCCACCAATAACCCACGTCCTTTCCTGCAAATCTGCTTTCCAGCTGGTCAGGCCCCAGCATACAGTGGTGCATGGGGCTGTTCCTCCCCATGTGCAAGACTTGGCACTTCCCCTTGTTGGATATGTGGTTCTTGTCAGCCCATTTCTCTAGTTCGTTGAGGTCCATCTGGACTGAGATGCAACACTCTGGTGTATCAACCACCTCTCCCCAGTTCGTCTATCTGCAAACTTGCTGAGGGTACACTCTGCCACAACATCCAGATCATTCATGAAGGTGTTGAAAAGGACTGGACACAATATTGACCCCCGGGGTACAATGCTAATTTTTGGCCTCCAACTAGACTTCATGCCACTGACCACCACTATCTGGGCCTAGCTGTTCAACAAGAACAATGCATCCAAAAAAGATCGCAGTCATTGTCACTTTGTAAGCAAATCTCATTATACTGGTTAACTGGATAAGAACAGGATACCACAGGAAAAAAAAGAAAGCTGGGTAGGTATTATAAAAGTCAGTAACATTCAGCTTCCAATGGCACCTTACACCACAAAGAAGCTCAAAGCTCCTCCATAATGGAGCCTAAAACCAACTTCTGCATTCCAAGAATGAGAACAAACAACTTATTCAAGTTTCTAGTGGTGACTGTGCTTACACAGGCATTATTCATAAAGAGATAAGGAAGCCCAAGTACCACATGCCACAAAGCTATGTGTACTTGTCTGCTTCTTAACAGCACTGATCTGCTTTGCAGGAAGAGTGAAATAAAGTGGAAGGTTAGGAGAAGCATAAAATGCTCAGACATTTTGTCAGCCTGAGAAGCTGTTGCCTTTGTCTATTTTGTCTTTCTTCTTACATTGCCTCTCCTATACTTATATATATCTCAGTTCTGCTACAAAAAAATTGGACATTGCGCTAAAAGTAAGAAACAGAACGCCTGGTCTACAGAACAGTGGGAAAACACACTCCTAGTGCATGGTGTGGGCAGGAGTACTTGTAACTGCCTTCCTCCTAAGCCAGAAAACACAATTGTTCCTCTAGCTCCTAAAAGTAGTATAATTCTGCCCCGTGAAGACATTTTCATAGTTGCA